CCTAACTCTCTTCAATTCTGCGAAGGCTGAGAGAAATGAGGAAGCTGCAGAAGAAAAGTTTGAAGCTACCAGACGTTGTTCATGAGGTTTAAGGAAGGAAGCTGTCTCCATAACATCAAAGTACAAGGTGAAGCAGCAAGTGCTGATGGAGAAGTTGCAGCAAGTTATCCAGAAGATCCAGCTGAGATCATTAATGAAGGTGGCTACACTGAACAACAGGTTTCAGTATACATGAAATAATGTTATATTGGAAGAAGATGCCATCTAGGACAGCTAGAGAGAAGTCAATGCCTGGCTTCAAAGCTTCACAGGACAGGCTGACTCCCTTGTTAAGAGCTATTGAACTGGTGACTTGAAGTTAAAGCCAGTGCTCATTTACCATTTTGAAAATCCTAGGGTCCTTAAGAACTATGCAAAATCTACTCTGTTGGTGCTCGATAAATGTAACAACAAAGCCTGGGTGACAGCACATCTCTTCACAACATGGTTTACTGAGTATTTTAAGCTCACTGTTGAGAACTACTGCTCAGAAAAAAGATTCTTTTCAAAATTACTGCTCATTGACAATGCACCTCATTACCCAAGAGTTCTGATGAAGATAGACAACGAGATTAATGTTGTTTTCATGCCTGCTGACACAGCATTTGTTCTGCAATCCACAGATCAAGGAGTAATTTTGACTTCTGAGTCATATTATGTAAGAAACAAATATCATCAGGCTATAGCTGCCATAGATAGTGATTCCTCTGATGGATCTGGACAAAATCAACTGAAAACCTGGAAAGGAATCACCATTTTAGATGCCACTAAAAACACTTGTGATTCACGGGAAGAGGTAAAAATATCAACAATAACAGGAGTTCGGAAGAAGTTGATGACTCTGAGGGATTCAAGACTTCAGCAGAGGAAATAACAGCAGATGTGGTGACAATAGCAAGAGAACTAGAATTAGAAGTGGAGCCTGAAGATGTGACTTGATTGCTACAATCTCATGATCAAACTTAAATGGATGAGGAGTTGCTTCTCATGGATGAGCAAAGAAAGTGATTCCTTGAGATGGAA